TGTGTTGCACTGTTGGAGGAGCCTGTGACCTAAGATGTTTATTGTCATAACTACACTGTAGCGCTATGTACAAATGACAATAAAAGTATTGAACCTTGAACCTTGAACGCAGTACTTTTACCTGTAAGATAATATTCCTACACTCTGGTACTTCTACTTTTACTAAAGTACAATATCTGAGTACTTCTCCCACCTCTGCCAGTCCAAAACCCACCATGTCAAAAATAAACAAACCCCCTTGACTTTACCTATTTGTGTCAGGACCAAGCGGAACAATCGAACATCCGAGCGTGTGTATCAACCCGGACATATTTTAAGCGGCCCCGGCTTGTTGAACAGCTGATTACAGTTTCCTCCATTCGTAACTCGAGTCCACTGTTGTGCAGCAAGTGTACAGATTGATAAAGGGGTCTCCGTCTTTACCACACACGGGGGCAGTTCATCAGAAAGATGTCCGCCTCGGTAACACGCTGCCCGGGCTGCGGTTCCTCCAACATCGTGGACGATGACCTGTACTGCCAGGCCCAGCGGGTGTGCGTGGACTGCGGCTCCGTGGTGTCCGAGGGGGTGCTGACCGACGACTGGACCGGAGACACAGGTATCAACGGAGAGCTCACACAAACACTCAAGCCTAGTGATATGATACACCATTTGTCCATTGTGTTTCTCTGAGGTGTTGCTCACAGTAGGACTTGAGAGCATCCAATGTTGTCACTTCACATGTGCAAAACTTTTATGGATCACAATTTCACTCCAAAATGCCTGCAAAAAAAAGAGTCATAAAACTGCTGTGAAGTTAGTTTTAGGATGAGTCATCCTGACTCCAATCAATGCAGCATTGTTTAACTACACTACATGAGTAAGACACGCCTCCTTTTATTGGATGTTAGTCCAACTTTAATTGTATTTGAATATATTTTCAGAATAATCAGCCGTTGTCTATTTGAAAAGACTCGTTTATTTCTATATCATGTGCTTCAATGTCTCCAAATCAACGCAACATTGTATTGCTACACTGGACACATAGGACACCTTTTTTAGGGTATTTTAATGTTTACTTTACTTTTTGCTGTTTTTCTTTCTGTTTTTATATGCATATTGGTAATTCAGATATTCATGTACTGAAACGTTTTTAAGCTCTTAAAAGATGACCTGTGTATTTAGAAATGTATGCACCATTGATAAAGGGCCCTCTAGAAAAATGTAATTTTGCAGAAGCCAGATAAATGCAGATTATTCTCTAGTCTAGATTTTGGTGTCCTGTTGTCTGATAGCTAGTTTGTGCTTTTTAAATTCCCGTGTATTATAGCATTGTCAATTAGCTAACTGTAGCATTTCTAATGTTTGTAATCAGTTGTTGTTTGTCCCTTTTTAACTTTAATTATATGAATGAATGAAACATGTTATTGTATCCTTTTGTCTTAGTTGTATCCAATTCCTAGTTTACCATTATATAAATGGAATGATTATCTTCGTCCAGTGATTCAGGGAAGAAGTTTAGCTGCCTGTTGGATTTGGAGGACAGAACACGTTGGTCTATAAAATCGTCAGAAAATAGTAAAGTGACCATACCAGCTTTTAAAGTCAAAGGTGATGTCAATACATATCTTGTCAGTAAAAGATATTTCGTTTAATTTGATATAAAACAGTAGAACATATATTTGAGAGGCTGGAAAAAGCAATATCTGACATGTTTGCATAAACATTTACTTTAACAATGAATCAACTATGAAATAAGTTGACAATTTAATGTTTTGGTTGACTACCCACTAGTGTTAGTTGACACCAGTCCAGCACTAGTGATTTGTGCATGTGGCATTGTTATATCTTCGCTTTTTCAAACTTCATATGCATTTGCCATTACAGAGATCAGCTACAGCCGAACCACAGCGGTGGCCAGAAAGCCGTGTTTGAACCTGATCAAAGGTGAGACCTTCTCTCCACGGGAGCATTTGCTTGTTAGAGATATTGATATAGCTCCTCTGTACAGGTGCTCCTGCTGCTCTCATATATCTTTGTAACACCTACAGGTCTGCAGCGTGTTAAAGCCATTTGTCGGATCCTCAGAGTTAACAGCGAGATCGAGAATCATTCGCAGACCTATTACACCCAAGCCTATCAGCATGAAGCTTTCATCCGAGTGAGCCTCCAGAAGAAAGAGGTTCTTGCTGGATGCTGCGTGCTTGTGAGCTGCAGACTGCTCAATTGGCCCATTACCATGGGAACCATCAGCTGTCTGCTGGACGCCGACCCGGTGGTGGTGGGAGCGGTTTACCAAGAGATGATCAAGATCCTCAACATCAAGGCTCCGGTCTTCATCATCAATGATGTGATTGAGGCCCACAGCCAGGAGTAAGTGAAGGAGAGTGTGATCAGAAGGGTTTGAGGGGCACCTAGTCAAGACATTATAGTTAAATTGGACTTATTTGTTTTTACTCTGACATTTAATTTTCTCTAATCCTGGTGTACAAAGAGGCCCTGTTTGAGATATATGTAGATCTGATGGGAGGGGGTTGGTAGGTGTTATTGTCTTGGGAGTTGTCCTACCATGTGATAGGTAGTTGATTTTTAAGGGCATATCATCTAATTGGGTGAAGGCTACCATGCAATCTACAAATATAGAATTAACACATGTCATTGGTGATTTTAAGCAACATTGCTTTTATTGAACTGCAGCTATGGATGTATCATGACACCGTTGAGGCTTTATAAAACTGTCAGGTGTAGAATATAGGCTATTGTAGGCTATAAATATTCATGCACAGTCACACATGTACACCGATAAAGTTTTTAGATGGTCGTAATTAAAATAATTGATTTTATAGATTGAAAGCAGCACTGAAATGATGTCAAGCAAACTGGAAATAGAAGGTCTTTTTTTAAAAGCATCTTCCGTCGCAACACTAATGGACTCGCTTATTAAAAATAAAGTGCAAGTTAAAGTTTTTTCACAACTAATGTCTGCTTTAAAGACCAGCAGCAAAGGTTAAGTGTGGGATGGTGCTGCAAATCTAATATATTTCACATATTGTGCGATTGGTTGAGCAGATATCGCGGACTAGTGTCTTCTCTACAGCTGGTTTTACAAATGGTAGATATAGGATGTAACTTGGATTGAACATTTTAGTCAGAAGATGTTGTCATAATCCCTCTGTATCACCCAGGCCTAAAATAAATTGAGCTTTTTTCCTTTAGACACATTTATTTGGCTTTCATTTTCAATTAGTATTAATATTGGTTAGTGTTTTTTAGAAAAAGTGCTCTTAACAACACATGCATTTCTAAAAACCATTCAAGGTCAGTTCTATAGTTAATGAAAACCTTTTTTCTGCCAGGTATAAAATCAGCTCACTTCACGTTCCTGAAGAGCTGGCAGAGAACTCGAGGGACTTGACGAAGCGTGCCGTGGCCCTGGTGGAGCTGGCAGCAGACACCTGGATCGTGACTGGCCGCCATCCCACCCCCATCATGATGGCCTCAATCTATCTGTCGTGGCAGTCCTTGAAACCCAACAAGCACCGCCTGAAACTCACTCTGGACAAGTTCTGTCAGATGGCCAAAGTGAATAAGCTGAAGCCTGCTATGAAGAGGATCGCTGAGATGAAGGAGGTGCTCTGCAAGCTGGGGAGGGAGATTCCTTGGGTCAGGGAGGCGGTGACGCCAGACAACGTTATGCAGCAGGTGGAGGATATTTTAAATTACAGGTTCGCTCTGCTGAGGAGGGCTCTGAGAACACATGAGGAAACTCTGCAGACAGAAAGTGAGGCCAGTGGTCAGGACTCTGTACCTGAGGAGGCTGCTTCCTCACAAGTATCCGAGCATGGAGAGCAGAATTCAAATGCCCCCACTGCAGAAGAA